TGTTTGGCTAAGGTACAAATACCAAAGCCTAAACAAGTTAAAATAGGGCCTAAAACCATTGATTACATATTCATTGGATATTCTAATAACAGTAGTACTTAGCGGTTCCTCGTACATAAGTCTAACATTCCAGATATACATAAAAATACTATCATTGAATTTAGGAATGCTGTATTTTTTGAGGACAAGTTTCCTTGTAAAGATAGGAAAGAAATAAGCCCGTAAAAACGAACTTATGATTCTGCAATTGGTAATCCTCAAAGTGATGAAGAACCAAGACGCAACAAAAGAACCAAAACATCTACATCTTTTGGTCCAGATTTTTTAACTTATATGTTAGAAAATGAACCTAGGACATTCAATGAAGCAATGTCTAGTCCAGAAACTCCATTCTGGATAGAGGCTATCAATAGTGAAATTGATTCTATTATGCAGAATCATACTTGGGAATTGGTAGATCTCCCACCTGGTAATAAACCATTAGGTTATAAATGGATTTTCAAAAGAAAATTAAAGACTGATAGATCAGTTGATAAAGACAAGGTCATATTGGTAGCTAAAGGATTCAAACAAAGGGAAGGTCTTGATTTTTTCGATACATACTCACATGTGACAAGGATAACATCAATTAGAATATTAATTGCAATCGCAGCATTGCATAATTTGGAAATCCATCAGATAGACGTCAAAATAGCTTTCTTAAATGGTAAGCTAGAAGAAGAAATTTACATGGAACAACTCGAAGGGGTCATCGCTCCTGGACAAGAGAAAAAAGGTGTGTAGACTTGTCAAGTCATTATACGGACTAAAACAAGCGCCAAAACAATGGCATGCAAAATTTGACAAAACCATGTTGTCAAATGGTTTTAAGATTAACGAATGTGATAAATGTGTTTATATTCAAACCACACCTAATGCATATGTAATAGTATGTCTATACGTTGATAACATGCTAATTGTGGGTAGCAGCTATGATACGATAACAAATACTAAGAAAATGTTGACAAAACATTTTGACATGAAAGATATGGGCATTGCAGATGTAATATTATGAATTAAAATTCTTAAAACATCTTAGGGACTTGTAATGTCTCAATCTCACTATATTGAGACTGTACTTAAAAAGTTTAATATGTATGATGAAAGTCCAGTTAAAACACCAGTAGACTTAAGTCTACATTTGGCCAAACATAAAGGTGAACCCGTATCTCAATTAGAATATTCTCGGATAATAGGCAGTCTAATGTACATTACAAACTGCATTAGTCCGGATATTGCATATGCAGTAAACAAACTTAGTAGATATACAAATAACCCTAATGACCATTGGAAAGCACTGGTAAAGGTTCTTAGATATCTACAATACACCTCAAATGTTGGATTACTTTATACGAGACATCCAGCTGTATTAGAAGGATACAGAGATACTAATTGGATATCAGATACAAAAGACTCAAAATCCACTAGTGGGCATGTTTTAACCATTGGTGGTGTGGCTGTATCTTGGAAATCCTCTAAACAAATATGTATAGCTCGATTCACAATGGAATCTGAATTCATAGCTTTAGATAAAGTTGGAGAGGAAGCAGAATGGCTTCGAAATTTTTTAGAGGATATTCCATGTTGGCCTAAGCCTGTGCCTGCAATTAGTATACATTGTGATAGTCAGTCAGTTATCGGTAGAGCACAAAGTAGTATGTATAATAGTAAGTCTCGACATATTCGTCGAAGACATAACACAGTTAAGCAGTTGATCTCAAATGGTGTTATTTCCATAGATTATGTAAAATCTAGAGAAAATCTTGTAGATCCGCTTACCAAAAGCTTACCAAGAGATCAAGTATACTGCCTATCAAGGGGAATGAGCTTAAAACCTACTACATAAGAATCTTTGTAATGGTAATCCAACCTTGCTGATTGGAGATCCCAAAATCTTGGTTCAATGGGACAACTAAGTTATGAAGATTCAAATAAGCACTTCGGAATTAACTCCTACCCATTCCTATGATAAGGAAGTGCTATCTGCAGAAAGTTTTAGGTTAAGTTATACTTTTAATGATTCCTATATCTTGGACTACCTAAGTGGAGTATGTCAGGTACTCTTAATAGGAGATCACCTATACAAGTGTGAAGTGTGGTCGCTTCTATGAGAATGTTTCAAAGGCTTGAATTCTATAAAACACTTACGAAATCCAAGAGTTGTTCATGGCCAAAATGAACACAATAGTGAGAACTCGAAAATGTTAGGAAGGTTATTGTGTTGATACTATTGTCTTGGTTTACAAAAACAGCTGACAGTTCAAGACACTGTGTTCACTGATTAGCCAAGTAAATCCAATTGTACTACGGAATGTTCAAACCCACAAGGTACCTATCCAGATGTGATAACATTCCGCCTGATCTCTCTATAGGGTCTGCATAGTCTATTGCATTAATTTCCATTCATGTGGGGGATTGTTGGAAAAATTGGGTTTTAATTAGTTGGCTTGACCAACTTTTGACCAATTAATTTAGTGGATCCCGTTAATCGAATATAAGTAATTTGGTGGGTCCCGTTAATCGATAATAAGATTTCTTTGGCCAAATATGTTCTATTCCATGAGTAGATTAATATGATATATTTATTTTCTCAAAACCAATTTAGGGTGAATGAGAAATTAAGGCCAAAAGATGCCCACTTGATGTTAAAATAAAATAGGTGAAAAATTGAAAAATACCAATCCCACATAGGAAAACTAGAAGAATATAAACCACCTTATATAGCTCAAGTTTGGAATTTGGGTTTGGGCCCCAAGGAATACCAATAGTTTTTGAGAGGGAGAGAACCTACATGCTAGTAGGTTAAGCCAAAGCCCACACGCACGCGCCGTCGTTGCCGTCCGTCCGACCGGCTGGCTCGGCTGGGCTGGGCTCGGCACGGCACAGCACGATCACGGGTCGTGGGCTTGGGCCAAGCTGATATATATTTTTGATAAAATAACATTTGAATTATATTATTTTATTATTGTTTAATAATAATAATATATTTTATGTTATTATTTTTTTCTTCCCAAATTTTCTGTGTATGACACGTGGTGCTTCTAAAATTTGGCGGTTGAATGTCTAATCGGTTGTGGCGGTTGGCTGTCCAAACTGTTTGTATCTTTTGGACAACTTTTCGACAGTTGTGTAAGTTAGGATACAACCTTTCAACATCTATATATAGGCCCCCATACCCCGATTTTAATTCATTCCAAAATCAGAATTGATTTTCTACTCTCCCGAAATTATCCCTTTGTCCCTGCATCATTTCTGCTTTTATAATTCAGTCCTTGAAAATTATTTTTCGTGCATTTTAGTCATTCAGTGTGTGTGGAGAGATCTAAATTTTACGGGTTCGTCGGGTCTTGTAATTTGGAGTACTAC